AGCATAAGTAGAGTAACGTATAAAAGTACTAATAACCAGCACAATACACGTACCGTGCATTCGATATTATGCGCGATAACAACTGCTCTGTAAAATTATAATCACAAGCTCCATGTTTGTAATAATTTGCACTCAGTTCTCACTGGTCGTTTACACCACGCGATGTTATTTATTGATACAGACTGCTCTATATGTATATTGTTTTACATATTACAAATTGAACTAAAGGACGACAAATTAATTTATTTTCGATTTTGATACATAATTTTATCGAATCACTTTTGAATTCGACGCTTTATAAGAGATATATCGGTTGAATCATTTTCTTTATAAATTTAGTTAATCGTCCTTTAAATATAGTAGCATACTTGTTTTCGGTAATTTGAATATGATAATCAAACGGGTTTAAAAATGTCATAAAAATGGTTGTGCATAAAATTTTGCACACTGTTTCGTCTTATCTTTGCTAAGATAATCGAATTTATATCCAAGATATAGATAAAATGTTCAATTAACATAATGAATACCATGTGAAATAAATGTTTGAATTACTTATACTGCGTGTGACGCGTCAACTTGAGACACTAGTTCCAATAATTTTAAGCTTTTATAGTTTCAACTGCTAACAAAGCCACTAATAACTAAAAAAAAATATTTCCTAATAAATTGAATGTACAGTCAGCGTCATATAGATCGTCACAGACAAGATATGCAAATATATAGGTACACCAAAAGTATTCAATTATATCGGTACAACAAAAGTCCTCAAAATAATAGATACATTCACCCTGCTCAAATACATCGATACATACACAGCGTCAAATATATGGGTACATGCAAGATGCTCATAAATATCGTAGCAGCCACAGCGTCATAAGTAACGAAGCAGTCAAGGTGCGCAAAAATATCGGTACATTTGACAAAATTGAACTCTATCTCTATATACTTGTGATACAATTTGGAATAAACTACTTCTGTTACATTCATTTGACACTTTGCATCAAACCATTTTTCAAAATTTACTAAAAGTGTTCGACGCGGATGACAGATATTAAGTAGATAGAACCAACATCAAATTTAAGTTTGTCATCATATATGCTAGTTTGGTCTCGTTGCCTTACCATTCGCCGCCGTTGGTACGTAAGGTCGGCGGTTCAAATCCCAAGCCACTATTTTTTTTTTGATATTTAAACTTTTTAATTTTAATATCGAAGCACATGTATTTAAATTCTATCGCCGTAGTTATTAGGTACTTTTTGATATTGCCTTGGACTAATGAGTTTGACCGTTAAAGTACTTTTCTATTTCAAACAAAAATGAAGGAGATAAAGCGATGCTATTGACATGTAATTTGTTTATTACTCATGTTTGTTAAGCTTGTACCGGTAAAAATAACACTTTTACTTTTACCTTTTACTGATACTGATTATATTTAAGAAACAAAGAAAAAAAACTGAATGTCAATATCCGAACTACATCAAATTTTTGGTCGATTGCAATAAACATTCCAGTGTGCGTGGGCGCGCACACATATGTAGATAACACTTGTACGAATAGTTTCCGCGCGTACCATTCTTAAAACCCGCAAAGACAATCCACGCTCCGCCCACTCACTTCACCCGCGATGGTCTGACCTAATTGTTGTTAACTTTATTTAAATTTCTTTCTACCCGACAGCGAAAATTATAAAAAAAAATTGTCGAGCAAAATTTTACATTACCAAATTTTTACTGGTTATGAAAAAATAACCCCGTGATTGATAAAATATAAAAAAGTAGCCTGAGATTCGAACCGGTAAATATGTAAATATTACGGCAAACATACTAGAATACTGCGCCAATCTAGTATTATATATATTGTGACAAGGCGAAATTTGATATTAGTTAATACGTATCTGTCATATTCGGCGTGACAAACTTTTATATTTAAGCGTTATGACAGGAGAAGAAAAATATTGGGTTGCCCAGTAAGTTCGTGCCGCTTTATAAGGAAAATTGAAACCCTGTTCTCTTAAATTTTTGGAAATGTTTTTAAATTATATTGGTACGACTCTATATCTAAAACGTCTTTTATTATTGGATAAAATTTTAAAAATTAGTTTTCATCTCAACCAATGAAATGAAATTATTCACAATATAGAAATTTTTGTGACGTTTGATAATGGTGGAAATCCGAAAATGAATCCACTTCAGCTACAGTCTATTGTAAGCTTTATATCGAAAATCAGAACGAACTTTCCGGACAACCTATAATGTTAATACAAAGTGTCAAATGAATGTAACAGAAGTAGTTTATTCCAAATTGTATCACAAGTATATAGAGATAGAGTTCAATTTTGTCAAATGTACCGATATTTTTGCGCACCTTGACTGCTTCGTTACTTATGACGCTGTGGCTGCTACGATATTTATGAGCATCTTGCATGTACCCATATATTTGACGCTGTGTATGTACCGATGTATTTGAGCAGGGTGAATGTAACTATTATTTTGAGGACTTTTGTTGTACCGATATAATTGAATACTTTTGGTGTACCTATATATTTGCATATCTTGTCTGTGACGATCTATATGACGCTGACTGTACTGCCGAATATTATGTTATTGAAAATATTTCATCCATACAACGAGTGTCATTTACTTTACAAAATCTTATAAAGATTTATAAATAGAGATCTAAACTTAGAAATGTAAAAAATAAGTTCTTATCTTAGAAATGACGTAAGAAGGTTACAAGCATGCTCTTGCAAAATTCGCGTCATAGCACACTACCGTGTCTACAAGACATTGCTGTTCGTTCCAACTCGACAAAACTTTGTTATCTCTGTTTTGTCTATGGAAATTACAGTGATGCCAATATGTTTATGTACAAGTATTTCAGTAATGGAACCATACAATTCGGATTAATAATATTTCGCATTGCTAATATTAGTAAGGTAAAACAATTGCCTCATTATGTTAACATTAAATTGTCTTGTCCGGTGTGACTTGGCCTTTAGAAAATGAGTCATAGGCTTGAACAAAAATAATGTATGACTCAAGTTCCATAAATTACAAGCTGTCTTAAAGCCATTCACTTTTATTTTTAAAAAATACAAGAAGTCTGATTTTAATGGAAGAAAGACAGCAATGTGTAAGTAATATCGAGACATGACCGTTACAAAACTTTGAAGACTAAATGTAGAAACTAAAATAAAGGTGTAAATGAAATGTTTAATTTATAAGATGTTTATAGAGATTAGACACAGTTGCATCGACCCAATGCGACATTGAACGGCCATGTAAGGTCGTGGGTGACGCTAATCTGAAGTACGTAGATACATTGCCTCTGTCTCAGTATTTTACAAAATGGAAGGCATTAATTATCACCTATTTGGAGTATTTGTTGCCAAAAATACATGTCGGTAATATACTTCGTAAGTCAGTTTTTTTTAAGGACCAAATATGGAAGAACAATAAATGCAATCTTATTTCATAATGAAGACTTTCATTTAGTTTGATTCTATACATAATTTCCACGACTACATGGGACTTCTTCACTAAAAATTCTGTTTAACTGGTTACAAGTGATTGTAATTTTTTTAGGGAATCCGATTATAATCATAATCTCTAAAATATCATAATATGCTTTAAAATATTGGTATTTCCTTTAACTATACATTGTTATCTATAATTATCTAGTTTTCGTGTCTGTATTATTTAGTCATTGCCCGTTTTATCGAATACGATAAGCATTTTCTTTGCAGTGAAAGGTAGAGGCGGCAAACAATCCGCGTATATTTTATTGCATCACTTAGCCCAGACAAAGCGTTACGTGATAAAGGAAAATCGTGTTTATTTTCTGCTACTTTACACTAGGATGAATATTTTACTAATATTATAAATACGAAAGTTTAGATAAATGTTTGTTAGAAGGTATTTTTAGAACGGCTAATCGGATCTCGATAAAATTTGGCATAGATCTAGAACATTGTTTGGAAGAACACATAGACAAATTAAGTTTTTTTTTATAATTTCGCGCGGTCGCAGTCGCGGACGACAACCAGTATTTCTATACAAATGAATTATGAATTAAATAAAATGAGAACATTATCAAGCAATGCTTTAATTAATTTTAAAATCAAACAATTGGTTGATATTTATCTCAATAGAGTAAAAAACTTTAAATTCTCTCAAAAACAAATGATAGTTGTTTTTGTGAAATTGAAACACCTTTAGTCGGTCATGGTCACTTCACTCCGACTTTTGACTATACTGTTGGCATTCGTTATGGAAACACTTTTGTGTTAATTTTGAGTTTTTATTGCAAAAGCAACTCTAATAATTCGAATCAAAGTTTTTATTTAAAACAGATTAAATTAGGAAACAACACAAGTTGAGTTGAATTTTAGCAATTATGTCCATTGCGTTTAACCATAACTTATGTGCATAATTTCGTTAATTTTGATATGGATATTACTAATTTATTTCAATGTTTTAGATAAATGTAAAACTCATGTTTAATGTAATTGAACTGAATCGACAATTAGTAATTATCGATTAGCACCATTAAAAGAAATCGTTAGTGTAACACGCAATGGAGTTAACATTACTAATTATATTTTGCAATTACGTAGTTCGATTTCTTCTTCAATAAAGATAACGATGTTTATATTTACCTTATAATTTCGCTTTTGTCATGAACATATATGCTGTTATTTACTTATCATTAAAAGTTTTACTAAGTTAAGTTACTTATCCTGGGTTTCTGAGACCAAAATATGTGTATAAAACATATCGTCATCCCTATCATAAACTTTGACAAAACAGAGATAACAATATATTTAAAACGGGGATTTTGGTCCTGAAACTCACGGTTAGCACTTCGCCCGTAACCGTGAGAGATAAGTAGAGTCTAACTACAGTCGAACCAGGATAAGCGAGTAACTTCTGTAAGCGCAAGTAATTGTCCGGTCTCGACGAAAGATCATGCTGTTGGAGACTTGAAAATAAAAGGCAATGTGCAAATTCGTACGTCATATATTTGATAAAATTATCGCAGAACTAAAACGTACATCGAGTCAGTGATAACCAAGTAATTGGACCGTTAATATATACATAGGCGAAAGGACAAACATTGATTCAATATAATATCTGTACACAAAAAATCAATTACAACAATTCGTAATATAATAAAAGGTACATAAGTTATATAAAAAATAAAAATTAAGCAACAAATCACAGACAAACGGCAAACGTAGTTGCAAAAAGAAAGTGCCTAGTTATTATAGTTCGTTTTTATAACAATTCCATAAAGTTATTGCATATTTTTACTTGCATTTCTCTACAACAATAACGCAAACAATAATTGAATAAACATACCTAATTAGCTCAATATTTACTGCCGAAATTTAAAATATACCACTTTTTATTGCGTAGATACCGCTCCCCAAAAACATCCGCAATTGCAATTGCGTTGCCTACCTTTAGTTAACGCAGGACGCGATGCGTAGAAAAGAATATTTCCCCTTCATATGCGTTCTCACCTCCGTAAAGCCACTTTCCCTTATATGAAAAGGGTGAGAAGGGATATGAAATTAAGCCTCCGGCAAACACTCATCGGACGAAATGCGGATTCAGGAAACAGGTACAGCAATGAAAGTTACTTTATGGACACTATGTTAAGGTACTATTTGTTCAAACTAAATCAATGTCATATCAAACATAAAGCAAGTTCGTTACAAATAAAGGTATTTGTTAAAAGTGCAAAAAGTACTAATAAATTATAACATAAATATATTTATTAATTAGAGTCTAAAAACTAAACTGTAGAGTTGTGTAAATAAAATTTCATTTCAAATAAATATAAACTAGGTATAGTAAATTGTTCACAGTTAATTTTCATGCATTCCTTTTTAAATTTGTTTCAAAGCAAATATAAGACAAGTATCTTATATTACGATTTATTTTTAATAAACTATATTGATATCTTGTCATGTTCTTTGTTCCAATCCATGTTTTAACAGGTGCTAGAAACTTACAAGACAGTGAAAAAATACGTATTACGAATTTTGGTCGTATTAATGGACAGCTCAAATTGATATGACAATATCGAATTAATTTAAAGAATAGATGCGAGAAGTGATATTATCTAATGCACAGTAAAATGACTAAATTATATCTAATATAAAAATATTACATTTTTTATTTACAAAGTACACATCACAATAATACTCATTTTCAATCAATATCAACGTTGGTGAATCTTATCGCGTCAATATTGTTAGTTTTGTGTGACATTTGAATGATATCATTATAATTATTAATGTAGCTAAATTCATGATTTATATGTTTATAGGGTCGGGGTTGTAAGTAGGATTAGTGACAGGCGAATTAGCGCCGTAATCTGGGGTGGAGGGAGTCGACACCGGGGTAGAGTCGACCGGTTTCAATAGAACGGGAGCCACGTACTCCTGGAAACGCACACTCGTCTCCGCTTGCAGCGGCGCCGGTGGCGTGCAGCTCGGGAACGGACTGAGCAATAGGAAGGTACCGAATGCAACAATCGATGCCATAATGAGAATTATAGTTCGCGCCTCGAAACCCGACCTCAGACCCGCCCACGCCGCCATATTCACGAGTAACAGTAAGACGGATACTCGTACCATCCTCACGGCCGCCGCGTGAATCCGCCCGCCTCCGACCCCGCTCATGTCGCTTGGCCCATAAGCAAAGTATAAGTTGTGTTTGTCACCTATGTGCTTCAACAGCAGGTACACCAGACCAAAAGGGGAAATCAATGGACACGCCAGACTGTAAACTATTGTGATAGATATAATAGCCAAACTCCATGCGTAATGCACACCAAATGGAAACTCGTAGAGGATCGCTTTTTTAACATAACTCTTTTCAGCTTTCGACTTTGACTGCAAGAGATACCACACATATAAGAACAACTCAGGGAAGCGAATCAATTCTAATGCAGTACCTATAAAGCCTGACGTAATGACGTAATTCACGAAAAAGGCGCCCTTGTCTGGTAAAAATACGCAATCCCATCGCATCGTATCATTCTCGTGGTGTAACGTCCACGCAACGAAAGCCTCAGCACTGGCTAATCCTAGAGATGGTAATATCAAGGTCATGAGTAGCAAGAATGACACAGTTTTCGTCATTATCGAGTAGTTCTGTTGAGATTTGGTCCAGTGCGATAGGAATTTATCTGTAAAGCCTACGATCGCCGGCATCACTGCAGCCATCGTCCATAGCAACAGGGTCGGAAGAAATTCAAATATGATACTGCTTATTCTATTCAAAGAGTCAGGTTTAACTACCAATGTGTTGAATAGATTGACTATAATAGCTGGTGTTGTGAGGAAGAATAGAACTATGAATAAGGCAACATTGACAATTATAGCTTTAACATACCAGACGCTGGGTTGTACACTCAGGTTCTCCCACACAATGTCAGAAGGATTTGTAGCATGTGTTAGCACCCAGCCACGGTGCAAATTAAAGTTGTTAATAACATGTTCAGCTAGCTGATATGATGGTAGAGTCAGGAATGCAATCCCAAGTGGATCATTAAGAACCATAGCACGACACCTTTTAGCTTCATCCTTGAGACGCTTTTCTTCATTTGTGTAGTACTCCAATGCATCAACCTCAGGACCACATAGTTCCTTCCTAACAGTTATTCTTTTTCCAGTCTTTTTGTAATATGTATCGGTGTAGATGAGGGCTTCTGTGACCATTTCCTTCTTCTCTTGAACTTCATTAAGCTTGTTGATGTTGTAAGCCAGACGTAAATCAACTATTTGGATATGTGGGAAGTTGTGTGTGAAGTATGCTCTGATAGTTGCCTCATTTCTATCACCTCTAGATATATTGGTTATCATAACAGTTCCAGTCATGGAGGTAGGGACGGGTTTGCGCCCAGTGCATCTTCTCATGATTAACACGGAAATTGGCAAAAAACAAATACTTATCAATGTATGTGCCCAAAGCCATAAAGACCTTCCATTTAAATTTGACAAAGTTGTTCTACTAAAAGTATTTGCATCAACTTGTAAGTTTGTCCCCTGAAAGTTAATAGGCAATATGATCCCAATAGACACAATTGTAACAATAAACATTAGTGTTATTGCATGTCTTTGGAACGAGAGGTAGTGGACCGCGTCCGGGCCGCATTTCGCAAGAACCTGCTCGCGCGTGACGCGGAAGACGGCCGGCAGCCACGCAAAGAATCCTTCGTCGATGGTTGAAGCCTCGTCCTGACTTCGCCTCCTTTCGACGAGCGAGTCCCCGTCGGCACCACGGTAGAATAAATTAGTCCAACGATTTCTTGAACGCTGAACTAGTGCCATGCGCCCATAGTTCCAAGCTGTACGTCGCAGTATAGTGAACAAAGCGATGAGACACGACCACGATATCACGTTAAGGATTAAAGTTTGTGGTATTCCGTTGTAAGCCCCGGTTATAATAACATTCTGGGACGTATTCACTAACATACAACCCTCGTCAGCCGTAGTCGAGGAGTTGCTGGATGAAAATGTGTATATTATTCCGTTTACAGTATTCATTGTTGATCTTGCAAATATACGTATATAACAAAAAGATAAAGCATTTACATGATTAATAGTTCACTGATATTCATTTCTTTAGATTTTCAATAAAACATTTAGTTTTACACTTTTTCACCACAGTAAACAGATAACTTTAGAATTGATACAATTTTTATCCAATTACAGCTATGTGACATGAAGCAATAAGTCAAATGTAAATTTTTTGTGACTTCGTGAATGGTGAATGGAACACCATTCGAGTAACTAAACTAAAGACGTCACACGTCATCTGTCACATTAGCTAGTGATGCGCGCATTATTAACTACGAATTTTCGTTATCGATGGCAAAATAATTGCAATATCTTTACCAATTTCAGTGAAAATGACAAGAAAAAAAATCACTCACATTTTTTTTTCATATTTAGATAATTATAGAAAACTGTTACTAGTCATGTTAAGAATACGATAACGAAACGAGTCACACGCACACATACAACAATAACAACTAACGCCGTCAACGAAGGGTAAACTAAGACACAGCCCAATTTTTGTCACATCTTAAGTATTTAAATAGGAGACAATCCACTGACCTAACATTGCAACGACGTTCGATTGTCAGTTATCATTAAATATGCAATCGTAATTACAAAAAAGTCTTTACCAATGATATGTTGATGAATATTGGTGTTAAATATGATCTACTAAAAATTTTTGTATTAAATTGGCCCTACAATGGTATATTCAATAAAGCTTTAAAGAAGTTTCACGTCGAAAATATTAATATAACTAGAATTTGCTACGAATAAATGAAATCGATTATAATTTTTCTTCAAATCGATGAAAAAAGTAAAATGTAGATTGAATATCGATGAGTATTTCATTCGCAGTTCATTCACATATTTCATTCATTTCTTGACAAATTGAAATGACAATACAAAATAGGTATTTTTCGTTTTACGCAATAAAACTGCTCATATATTGTGATTTATTTTTTTAATTTCATTATTTAAGTGCAATGGTTATTTATCGTTTGGAAAAGAATTATATTAAAAAGTTAGAAAATTCAATTTAAAAAGACATGTTAATTCTTACATATTCAAAAGACACCTAATTGTAAATTGTGTGTTTTATTATTACTTTTCACAATTATCAATATGTATGCTTAGATAATAATAAAAATGTTATACAGGTATCGTTAAAATAATCTTTAAAGTAATTTTATTCTTCTCATTTTCCATAAAACTACAAAAATGAGATAACTATATACATTTAACATGAGATGCAAAGAGACAGATAGATGTTATTTGTTATACTCGTTCTGGCGAGAAGAGAGATAGGAAACAGCAGGTCGGTGAATTTCAATTTCATTCAATGAACTGAAATTTGAAGCAGCAAGTTCGACTTGGTTCGACCTTTCTTTATTATTTGTTATTTTAATTATTATAGTTATTTTATTAAATGTCAAAATTATTAATTTGATTTGAGTAAGAAATGGAGTTTGATTGGAATAATTATTTAGAGACGAATAAAAGCATTGCTGTTCCCGAAGAACTATTTTCCCATGTAAGTGCGAGTTTAACATTTTTATAACTTTATTAATTACTTTTATTAACTTAACTTGAAGATAACAGTTTAGAACAAGTTAAACGGGGAAAGTTGGAATATGTAAATGTTAAAAAATATGTTTAAATTGGTAATGTAATGATATCTTTTGTTAGTCTAAAAAATATTCTTAACATAACGATATATGGATGCTCTATTTTTAGATCACGACAAAATTTTCAAGGTTTTAAGTAATTGAAATATGATTGCGCTTCTTAGTGTTAATATTTTTTTATGTCTACCATACGGTATCATATTTTGATTGTTCTATTGCCACATAATCACCAGTTAATGTGAAAATAGTTCTGATAATGATAATTAAAGATGGGAGAACCATCTTTCATTTTAAAACCTAAAAATACAAAGGTAAATAATTTATGTTTTAATAAATTGTATTTTCATAATAACTTTGTAAAGTTGCATAACTTTAGGAAGCATCAGACTTAGCTAAGATTTTAATTATTATTTTTAAATTCTTCTCAAGAATAAATACTTGTTTAAAATTATTTTTCCTTTAGCTTAAATCAGTTTAATAATATTTTTATTTAAACTCAGTGTACTTAATGGAGCAAAAATAAAGAAACTCTATGAATTATCTAAATTAATTATTTATTAAATTAAAGAAATAGTATTTCATTTTAATTTATTTAGTAAAATTGCACATGTTCATATTATATTTAAAAATAAATATGGTACAATTTTCTTCAAAAACACACTTAGATTTATTAGTACCTTGTACCCTTAATTCTAGTTTTTATTATGAATTAAGTGTTCACATAAATATTTACATTAGTGTTGAAATTAAAGCAAAATACAAGTGTTAAAACGTTAAAATAAAAAAATAAACAAAATAAAGATACTTTGTTCCACCAATTAAAGTGATTAATTTTTATTATTTTTATTTAATTCCTTAACATTTTATAAACTAAAACAATCCAAACAATACTAAAAAGATTATTAAATAATCTGTTTTTTTAATTTAATGAATTTTGTAAACAAATAACAGATCTGGATACAGACTTACTGTACTAGCAATGGCCCTTAATTCTGTCTGATTGGAATTTAAAAAATCTGGTTATAAATATAGCCTATATTACCAACATTCAATTATATCTGAGCCTATTCAATGCACACTGATAAATCTTTTCTCTTTATAACATTAATATAAGATTTTTGACGAAACAATAATACTAAACAACCTAGTTATTAAGAAAAAATTTATTATCACACATAAAACAAATGCAAAACACAAACTTGATGTAAAAGTGAAGGCAGCTCAGCGAAACAATGACAAATTAAACTGTCCCTGCGCTGGATTTCAGCTGGCACCTTTACAAAAGAAAGGTAGAATTAGAACAAACAATGATTCATAATATTAAGATAGCCCGAGGCTAATTAAAACATTTTAGCATGGGGTGTAAATTTCTTGTTTTTAATATTGTGGGTTCAAGGTTTTAAAAATGTGTCGATCCAATTTTATATTGAATAAGAAATAGTCTTTTCTTTGTTAGGTTTTTTAAAATCTAATGCAGATTGTTTAATATATAATAGAATCTTTTAAATCAAATTGTGTTACATCAAAGTACATTTGAATCATGAAGAATTTTGTTTTGATAAAAATAGATATTTAGTATAATACTTTGATCACAAAAACATTGTAATTTTGACCAAGATTTTAACTACATGGATAATTGTTATTTATTTTTATCTTTTATATCTTTATCTTTTATATATTTTTAATTTATATTCTATGAGAGAATTTTAGATGCTTAAATTATGTTTTTGTATCATTTATGTATATGTGCATTTTTGTGTAAAATATGTTGATCTGCAACATATTTATGGTCAATATGTTTTTAATTCATCATCAGTGAAAACACATCATGTTTCTTGAGTACTTTATTATTGTATTGCTTAAAGAAAACATTAAACTTGCCCTGGTTTTAAGAAGAAAAAGCTTTTCTTAGTAAAATAGTTATAATTTAATGCTCTTTCTTAGTATCTATAAAAAAACACTTATTTAATTTATTAAAATAATTAAAGCTAATTTATTAGCTTTCATTATTTTTAAGCTTTAGCTTTGCCTTAATAACACTACTATTCTAAAATGAATAAATAGTAACAAAAGATTTTTTTATTTAATTTGCGTAAGAAAATAAATTTCTTTGCCTCAACTCTCTCTCTCTCTTTCTCTCTCTTTGTCTTTAATAAATCTTTAACTTAACGTTAAAATGTTCAAATTCTTTAACATAACAAAAAATAGACTATTACTTTACGTTGGTTTGATTATCGACCTTCATGTTAACATATAAAATCAATGTGTTGTATACATAGTTAATATATAAATGAATAGTTACAGCAGTTACTGGTATAAATAATTCAAACGCCATATACCGAAAGCGAAAGTCTATGAAAGTTAAATCGACAAGGTCACGCTTTTCGTAACCACCTTGATTTATAAATTATTAAAGCTTGCTTATGTGCATAATTTGGAATTAAAAAAAGAGTATTAACAATGTAAGAATATATCCTCTAAGTTTTTTTTAACCAAAATAGCCATTATTGAGACCGTAATATCACAATTAGATTCGATAGCAAAATTAATTGAGTATTCAAGCAAATATACGTGAAGCGAAAATTTCGTACACCCCTTTTAAATATATTCCGAGAAGGAATTTGATACAGTTAAAGTTAATAAAAAGTTCTTAAAAATGTTTTATTATGACCGAATGTCGACCAATGGGCGACCTACTATCTAGTACTTAATTATATTATTCAGCAGTTGACTACGACTTTTTCCGCGCGGAAAAAAAAAATCTAGTAATAAATATATCCGATATTAGCCTGGGGATAGTGTAGTTTGTTTACAGTGAAACAATTTTTCAAATCGGTTCGATAGTTTTCAAGCCTAATGCAAATAAACAATTAAATTTTTCCTCTTAATATTAGTAAGATTAATCATCATTAGCCTGTATCAGTTCCGTTTTTAGGCCGTCCTTAATGTTGTAATTGTAAGTACGTTTTTTCTTCTCTTTCGTATCATGAATATCCGTCCCTTTTACCTCATTGATCGTTTCAAGCAACTAAATTATAAATATAGTTTACTCGTTTCGTTAAGCACGGCTAATATTTTTGGGAAGGTTATTCAACGAAATAGGTCGAATTATGTTTTCGTCATTACGTCTATTGTTTGATGCTGTTTTTGTATAAAATTCTGAATACTGTTATGATGATAAAGTAAATGTTTACTCATCGCAAACAAAGAAAATCTAATAAAATTATAAACACGCTTGTATAGCAGTTCATATTTTGTTTATGGCCGAAAAATTTACTATTCCAATAAATAACAAAATAAAAAAATGCATAAATGTAAAATTTTGTCATGAAATAATTTTAGACAATAAATAAAATATAAAAGTTGTTCTTTGTGTTTGAATAAGGTGAAATGTGTTTTAAATTCTATCTACCACGTTTACATTAGAAGTAAAATGCTGGCGAATTCTTTACCTCTCTGTAAGGTTCCACTCTGGCAAAATTTTCGCTACACGTTAAAATGTATAATTAAAGATACAACAATATTGGTACATTTTTTTTAAGTAATTTTCTTCTCCATGTTCGTTTTACTTTGTCGCA